CAGAGAGTTATAAGTTATGAGAGGAAGAAGAGAGTTATGCTCGACTGATTGTGATGCCCCCCAAGTGTTAGTGAAGCTTTTAATTTATAGTCGCCCTCGTAATAGATTTGGACGAGATAATAGTAACTAGTTGGATAGTTAGTTGAATCTGGCAATCTCTTCTTAACGAGCGAGACGGTTACGGTGCTTTTCATGGGATTCGGTCAAAGTATGAGATAAGGGATGACTGTTTTCAAGGCGGCGAGGGTGAGACTTTTGGATGACCTTGCATGCTTCCCTACTAGCGTAGCTCCTTGAACCTGATGATCTTGACCGAGCATGGAGCACTTTAGACTTAATTTACTAGGCTTCCTGGAATTGGACCATTAATTCAGTCTGAGTTCATAACATGAGTTGGGTCTTAAACTCGACCCATCTATTTCGAATAGGGCTATCAGATCATACTTAAAGTTGTCTACTCTAATTAAAACTAGGAGTCTAAAAATTTTAAGGGATCCAAATTTTTTTAGGGGCCCCTAAATGTTATCCATTTGGGGGTTTAGGGTTTAGTTAGTTTCCGTGCATTTCAGCTCGTCAGGGGGCAAGGGTAATTCCACCCATGCTCCTCAGGGGATCAAATGTTGATTATTGCAGTATAAATGGACTTACACTTTCTCTAGCAATTTAATTTTTTAATATAATATTAGAGTAGGAAGTCACGTGTTTGAATATGATAGAAAGTCTCAAAACAAACACGGTAAGTATCCATTGGAAAGTGGGCTCCAACCCTCTCAATACCAAATCCAAAAATAAGTTTGACTGAACTCTTATGTTATGCGGTCAAAGAGGCACTATCACCATTGTGAAACGATATTCCAATTGGGAAGTGGCCTTCCTATCCCAAATCCAAAATAAGTTTGACCAAACTCTTATGCTGTCAAAGGCACTAGCACCAAAAAAATAAGATAAAAAAAAAAATTGTTACATAATTCAAACAAAACCCAAAAATTAAAACTCAAATGAATATTATCATTTAGACGAGTGTGAGATAAGTGGGTCCCACTAAAAAATTGATAGAGTCCACTCTTCCGAGAAATGATATGCATTTGGATTTAATTTAGATTTTGTAACATTGCTCAAAAAAAATATCAAATGATGTGACGATGATATAGTAAACGAAATTTATAATTTAAATAACTAAAAATTAAACAAAAAAATACCAATGTATCAACGTTATATTATTTGATCCCAGTTTTCATTTCATTTTTTGTCGGTCAAATACTATGTTGTAGTAAGGAAATGGTCGGCATACATTAGAGTCACAACCCCCTACTTTAGCCACGTTATTGACATTGTAGCCTTTAACTTTTGTTTAGCCGAATTATATTAAACTTTGGTGCAAAGGTTGGGTCACCAAGCCATTAATGTTAAATTAGAAAACAATTTGTTGGGTGGAGGAAGAAATACACCTGTACTGAGATTTCACTAAAATATGAACCCCACAATAATGGTGGATTAAACAATTCTTAATCTTGTTATCTTATCATCATACTTTTTTTGTGGTTTGAACGGTCAGAGGTGTTTGTGTTAATTTTCGTGCATTTTAGTTAATCTTTTTTTTTATTCAATTAAAAACAGATCATTTATGCCAAAACTAGGACATTCATGAGGGATAAATTCCTCATGGTCTGATCATAATGCTCCGTTTGATACGATGAAAAAATAAAAGGATGGAAAGTTAGAGGGATAGATAAAACATCATATTTGATAAAAAAATAAAAATAGAAAAGATGAAAAAGTAGATGGATAAACTATCCTTCCAACTCACCAAAATCAATCTCTCTAAAATTTGAAGGAAAGTAGATGAAAAATTAATTATTTGTGTTAAAATGTTTCTTATTTGTCTATATATCCTTTGATATATATACATTAATTTTATATATAATTACAGTGATAAAATATATATTTATATTTTTTTAAAAAAAAATTAAAATTAAAATTAAATTAAAAAAATATTTTTTCCATTTTACCGAGCACAAAAAAAAATATTTTTATTTTTCATCTATCCTACTAAACACAAAAAAAAAATGTATAATTTTTACTTTTCTTTCTTATGTGATTAAAATTATATTTATAATATTTAAATTTACAATTGATTCTAATTACCGCGGATCCCCTCCCCAAATTTATCCTATGCTCATCCTTGTCGATGCATGTGTTTTATCACCCCAATCCCAATGACAACGGAGTCATGCCACACCACTCACGTTTATAAAATTACGAGTTTACCCTCTAAAATTTTGTTAATCCACCTCAAGTTTTCAAAATCTATTTTATACCTCTAAAATGATGGTTTGGTTTTATGTTACATGGCTTTCTCAAGTTTTAAAATTTATACCTTTTCTTTTATGCATTGGCTATTAATTTGAGTACATTTCTTCAATTTTTTGTAATATGTAAAGGCATTATGAAATTTAATTTTTCTCAAGTGATTATGAAATAAAAAAAATAGCGTAAATTGTACATTGTAGGATGAATTGACCGAAATTGCTTTACATTTAATTTTCACAAGTTTGAATTAATTTTTTATTATATTAAAAATAAATAATTCTGCTATGTATTGTGTAAAATTTTATTTCTATAATTTCAACACAATTAAAAATTTAACATTAAATTCAATTACATCACTATTTGACCCCTCTCAGAAAAAAAAAAATCATGGCTGCTCAATTCGAATAAAAGAAGGATAAATTCCTGGACAATTGAGATGGAAGGAGCAAACACCGACTTTCATAATGATTTTGAGAGACATATTGATGACCGTTAGATGGGTCTATTTGAAACAGTCGAATATATTTATTGAAATATGTTCTATTTTATATTATAAATATCGAGAGAAATTCTGTTTTTTAAAAGGACAGAAGCACCATGAAACACTCAGGTGTCACCATGCCGCAAATGCTTCGACAACTGCAACCTTTTAGAATTGAGCAATGTTATTTAAATTTAAATTATTTATTTGTTTTATTGGCTTGATTAATCACTATCATTGATTTAATTATAGATTACAATATCTACGAGAACTTATTATCTATTCAATAATTATGATTAATTAAGTCAAAAAATTAAATTTAAATAATATTTTTTATTGGAATTAGGTAATTCTCTGACGTCTTCAACCTTCACATCTATTTTAGAGTTTGCCCACCCTATTATTTTTTTTAGCTCCGCCTTCCTAACTTGGGCATTACTTTTAATACGTATGGTTGGTGCACATTCAATTGTGCCGTTACATCGACTTAGTTTCCTATATTATTTTCCCTACCTTCCATTATTATCGATTTTTTATCAATAGTTATAAATAACTCAGAACACGATTTATTATCAAAAATTATGTGTATAATACCAAGTAGTTAGATCTAAGTACCATAACTTTGTCCATGAATCGGAAAATATATTCATTATAACGATTATATCACTTCAATATTATTACATGGTCTCATCATTTAGTGATAGTCTAAAAACAGAGAAAGTGAACCTCCCTTTTTTAAACTACTATCCTTTCGTGTAAGATAATAAGCATCACGTGTAAAGAAAATGAAGCTCATTTTACTCATTTATTTATTTTATCATTGAATCTTAACATTATGTGACAATTACGACATGTTGTATCCCTCATACACCGAATATTAATTGACGTAAACGTACAAATTAGAACGATCAATTGTGATACATAACTTTTTGTATTAACACTTAATTTTTTTGTGCATTTATTCAAACGAAAAATAAATATAGGGACTTCGGGTCTGAGGTAAGTTTTCTTGTATCATTGAAAGACAAAGAAGTAAGCGAAGGTGTTTGTGTTTGTTTGTTAATAAGCAAATTGGTAAAGTAAGCGTGAAGAGTACAAATCTCTTTTTGCATTCATGCATATTCTTAGTTGCTCGAACTCTTGTTATAGTATAAGCTTTGAAAGTATCCGAAGTTAGGCAATTCGCACAAATTCCTTTAAATGGATCCCTCTCTCTTAATGACTCTTCTTAGGGATTTGGATTATTAGGATTATTAGTTTTTAAAATATATATTTTTTATTAGTTTAGTTCTCATTATATCAATTTTGTCTTTAAAATATTCAATCTGTGTCACTTTGGTCCCTAATTGGACAATCCATTAAGTTTTTTACGAAAGTGACAACGTGTTACTTTTTTAAACGGCATCACGTGTCCAACACATGATTATTTCATAAAAAAACTTAATCTTCCGTTATATAGGGACCAAAATGACATAAATTAACAAAATTGATACAATACGAATTAAACGATAAAAATAAATACTTTAGAGATTAAAATGTCATTAAATTATGTCCTTGGAAATTAAGCATGGAGTCCAAGAATTAGGTTGAAAAATGATATGTTAAGATAATTTAAGAACCTAATTTAGGGACATAATTTAATGCAGTCATTAGATTAAAAGTGAATCCGATCTAACATTGGAACAAAAAGAACAAAAAACAACGACATAATTTGTAGATATAATGACATGTCAAGTAATAAAGTTCCAATAAAAAGTCTAAGAGTTACTGTCATAATAATACTGTTAGACCACATTATTAGATCAACAAATTAAATAAACTTTTTAAGTTTTAATTACAATATTTTATAACTAATTAAATGAGTGCGTTAAATTAGATCGCTGATTTGGTCCCAAATTGAGTATAGCATTCCCCAAATTAGAATTAGAATTAGGGTTAGGGTTTATGAGTATCAGTATACGTAGCACAGACCTTTAGATCAGCCTACGATATACGATCACTGAATGGAACTTTGAATCCCAGGTCCCCACCTCCACTCTCTCTCTTTCTCTCTCTCTGCTGCAAAGGCAAAAGTGACGAACAAACAACAGCCTGCATTATCTCAGGTGGTTTGGCAGATCTAAAGTCTAATACTCCACGTCTCCTACCTCCATTAAGTCTCCTCCTGCATCTACATATAAAGACAGATACATTTACTTTTATGCTTCCTCCACACGCTCACATAAACACCACAATTTTCTTCTTCTTCTTCATTGCACTTTCAGGCTTCACCACTTCCAACTTCCCTATGTTTTGATCCCACACCATTTACTTTTCCTTGTTGGTATCTTTATTCTTCAGAGAATCTCAGAGCCATTACTATTGGTTCTTAGAAGAGAGAGAATGAAAAGTAATCCCACGTAGCTACGGTCTTTCTCGAAAATCGGTGACTGATCTCTTTGTCACATCTCTGGATTCTCGCCGTACGTCGTCGGTGAACGTGTAGAGAACGTCAGGATCGTCACTGTCTTCCATTTATTGGCCCAGAAGGAAGAACTTCCCTAATTGTAGGCATCCAATCGCTCCACCTCGAAAACCCATTCAAACGCCTCCGAATTCAGCTAAAGAAAACGATTTTGAGACCCACCTCTCTCTTCTTCCTTAATTTAGCCAGTAATTTTAAGTTTCTTCAATTTCTGAAACCGAAACGAACGATATTGAAGCAGGGGAGTTTGATTTGATCATATCTCTGTTTGTTGTGTGTGGATCAGAAAGGTGATAAATGGGGAATTGTCAGGCGGCGGAGGCAGCGACGGCGGTGATTCAGCATCCAGGCAACAAAGTGGAGAGGATTTACTGGTCAGTAAGTGCTCATGAGATCATGGCTTCAAATCCTGGACACTACGTCGCACTAGTTATCACCTCTACGACGGCCAAGTCAGAGAAGAACGGTCCGCCATTGACGCAGCTCAAGCTTCTGCGTCCCGACGATACGTTGCTTATCGGACAAGTGTATCGCCTCATCAGTTTCGAAGGTGAAAATTGAAAAAGCTTTACACCATTGCAGTTTGTTTACGCTATATATATATATCTTTTGCTGTTACAAATTTGTTGATGGGTTGATGATTCTTTGTTAATGGCTGTGTTGTGTTTGACAGATGTATTGAAAGAGTTCGCTGCAAAGAAGTGCGTGAAACTTGGGAAGCTATTGAGGGAAAGCGGAGGGCTCAGTCGGGAGAAGAAGAAAGAGATGGTTTCTCCGACTCCGGCGAATGGCACTTCCGTTGAGGTAAACAACTCATCATCGTTAGAAAATTATGAAAGATGAAGTACAATTAGATTTGAAAACCTATTATTTATTAAGTTATTATGATTATTAACTTTAATTTTTAAATCTATACGACATTATCTAGCATGAAAACATGACTTGGGAACGGAAGTACATGCACACATATACATAGAAATGAAAAATATAAAATTATAAATTCAGACGATTTTAAATTTAAATATTAATAATTTTTTAGAATCATTTCATACTTGTGAATACAATCTTTTTTTTATCATACAAAAAAGAAAATTTATTGAGGTACTTACTAAGTTAATTACCGTTGAAAAAAAAAACAGAAATGATCTCTATTAACCGGAGGTGATTTGTCTTTGATTGGTGAATTTAGAAAGCTATTCTCTGAGAAAGAATCTGAAAGTTTCTTTAAGCTTCAGATCTCGAGGCATGCTCATAATGGGTATGTTCGGGATGGTGGAAGATGATGCGGATCGAAAGAGAGAGGTAAATACGATGGGAAAGAATCACTTTCCATCTGATTTAAGTAGGAGGAAAGTGGGAGGGAAAAGGTTTCACTTGCAGCCACTACGATTAATTAAAATTCTTCCGGCCAGTACAATCAATTAAAATTCTTCTGCCCGAGCACGAAAGAGTTGTTGGAATCGGAAGTTTAATTTTACTTTTCTACCCTTTTATGTAACTAATAAAGTCACCAACCTACCAAACACGTGAAGGCCTCGATTGTGCATATTATCAATCAGCGTCTAACAAATCTCATATGATCACCACCTGATTTCTTTCTTTTTTTCATGAGTTAAGATACTGCCACAAAGATTCCGCCGGTTATTATACTGAAATACTAATTTTTAGTACTTTATTTTTATCTTTTATTCAATAAAATATGTCGCGCATGTAAAGAATATTAATTTGTTATTTTATTATTTATTATTTATTTTAACCGATGATTACAAATTATCAAAATCAAAATTCCTGATCTAGATCAAATTTCAGTACGGTAATTTGAGGGTAAATGTGGAAAATGCATGCTTTTCTTTACCATTATTTTCCTTTTAATGCTAATCAACTGTGCTAAAAAAAATCCTAATCTACCAACATGTGTCGACAACAAAAAATCAGAAAATAATTGTTTTTTAATTTTTTCCTTCCACTTTTTCATCCATTATGTAAAAATTTGCACAAAAGTTGGAGATATCAAGGTTCACGTGCTTATTTACTTAATTGGGTCTCCAAAGTCATTTTCTACAGCACTGTTTACTTGGGCTTTGCTGAGACCAGATACAATGATTTCGTTCTTGAGTGCCCTCAAGGTGGCAAATTGCAAAAGCGCAATGCTGGCTTTCGTTATTTTGTTTTCATTTGTTAGTGTTGGTCCACCTACAATAACAGTTAGTCTACCTACGAATACGATAACACTAGCCATGTGATTCTCATTGCAATCATGGAAGATTACTGGAGTCTGTCGTGGAATCCAAAATAATAAATCATGCATTTTTTTTAAACTCAGGTTATTGAAAAACCAAATTGGGTTCACCCCAAAGTTGAAATTGAATTCCAGCTTGGCTTGTACAACTCGAGAATTAAACCCGAATTGAACCCTTTGTTCAACCCATCATAGCAACATTAATAGGTCTTGTTATTGCCTTGATCAAACATTCAAGTAGACTTGTGGTGGGTTGTGGAGCTTCAAGGTCAAATTGTTTTTGACCCAAATACAAGATTAGTATGGGTGTAATTTTATTGCAAGTACTTTCTGAATCTATGTAGCTGTCTGTAATGAGTGATGATAAAGCATCATCAGCAATCAGAATCTGTGTTCTGATAGCTCCTTCAAATCGTTCTATGAGAGCAAGTCTTTTTTTCTCAATATTCTGAACTACAAGGTGAGCAACTCATATGACCAGTATATGTTTGTATTACTTTCTGATTATACTGTAACTTTTATGTTTTCAATTGATTTATCATATCTTCAAGCTGCTTTTGTTTACCATCTAAGTTTGTGTTATTTGTGTTCCTGCTTCAGATTGAGCATGACCTTAACCGATTGGGAAGCAGTAGTGGTAGCAGCAGCAGCAATGTAAACAGGGGAGTAGGAAGGCATCATCATCATGGTGGGGGTCAATGGAAACCAGCCTTACAGAGCATTGCAGAGGTTGGAAATTGAACACAAGCTCTTCTTTACCCCCATGTCCTCCACTCCCTGCTATCACAGACTCCATCCTAATCTTCACTCTGACCCTCCTACCAATAAAAACAAAACCTACCCATCCTTTCTCTCCTTTTCATATGTTTATATTCTCTCTCACTTTTCAGACACATGTATCAGTTTTTCTTGACCTAGGGTTTGTGGTACATGCTGCAAAATTTGAACATCTTGTAATGCACTTGAGTTAACCTTCATCTAAATTTGTGGTAACCTATTATTAGTGACCAAGTAATGTCATTTGAACCTAAAAATTTAACCTTATTTGTTGACTTGATTCACTATGACTTTTGGATTGACTGTGGGTCTTATCAAACATTAGAACCTACTCTTCATCCAGTAATTTCAAAGAAGTTACATCATCAAGTCAACAAATAAAGTCAAATTTTTAAGTTCAAAGCACATTACTCTTAGTGAAATGATCCAAGCAACTTGAATTTGGTTCATGCTCGTTCAAATTATAAAATAATTAGAGTTTGATCAAATTTCTAAAATTATTGTGCGAACTAACCAAATCCAAGTAATTTGCCACTTGTTTAGTTGTCTATAACTTAATTTAGTTTTATTGTAAAGCAATTTATATTTGAATGGCAAACAATCTCATGTTTATTCTCAGATAATTCTCTTTTTTTCTCTTATGCATTCTTTAATATTTAAACTTCAAATGTTTGATCTATTCTTGATTGCACAATTTTTTGAGGGGTTTTTATTTTGATCTTGATTATAAGAATATTGAGAGATTATGGCTCATTATATGAATTTTCGAATTTTTTTTAGAAAAAAATTGTTTTTTTAGAATTGACTATCAAATTCTGGTGTTTAGTTTTTAATTTTTTTTTTCAAATTTGAGTATGATTTTTTCATAAGTTTGACTTCTTTTTTCGGTCGAAGTAAGCTTGAGTCAAATTTTAGGCTAGATAACCAGTTGCGTACTTGAATATATACAATCAAATCGAATCTAAACATACTTATTTTGACAAACTCAACTTGATTAACACCAATAACCTTTCGGATCATCAATCAAATCAGCTCTCTGTTGGTGTTGTGTAATTGTAAAGGGGGACCCCATTGGTGGGTTATTATCTCACCAGTCCGACTGGAGGAGTTTGTAAGTGTTGTATCTTAATCTTAAGTAAGTTTAGGGCTGGCTGCAGTAGAATTTACTCCTCCGCCTGCAAATGTGATTGCTCCTCCATACCATTGGACTCACATCTCGCCACGAGGTAGTTATGAAGAATGTTATTTGGATATAATTTGAAAACTTAATAATTATAATTATTAGATATTAATGATCTTATAAGTAAATAAAATTTATTATCAATCTCATAGTCATAATATATTAAATCTTTAAATTATATCTCAGTAACATTAGTGAGAACTGAGAAAGTTGTTAATGTATTTGATGGTCGGAACTCTGAACCCCTCTCTAGTGAAATCCAGGAACACCATTGCTCCAAATCTACGTCAACTTTTGATTTTTTAAATTGTAGAATTGTTGGAAAAATTAGGATAATTACAAATATTTAAATTTACAAATTAATTTAAAAAACACAATATAACAAGAATATACAAGCAAATACAAAATAAGTGCACCTCTTAAAAACTTTCTCCAATACTAGACTCATACACATATCAACTTAAGGGAGACTCATTTTTTTTTACTCAAATTAAGAGAGACTCAAATTTATACTTAAATATTTAATAGTGAGATTTCTCCATCTTTTAAAGATCCTACGATCATATTTTATCATTTTTTAAATTAAAATTTGTCTTCATTTAAATTTTGATTTCTCTTTTTTTAAATTTGAGTTTCTCCATTAGATATGTCTATACCAAATTAAGTTTTTTACTTTTTTTTTTACTCAACTTTGAGTAAGGGGTTGGATTTTTGTTGGAGATGGTCTAACAAATAATTTAGAATAACATAAAATAAATAATATAAAATAGAAAGAGTGACATGTGATATTTGGGAGACTTGTAATCACTATCTTAAAAGTAATTGTGTCTCTCCATGTGAAGATACTAATGAACATTTGTGGTTCTAAGATCCAACATAAATGCTCACAACATTATCTTCTTAGGGGTCACGTCCACGAGAAATAAGGGGGAACTTGACTCAAAAAAAAGTTGCTAAAAAGCTCAGTATAATTCAAAAAAAGAATAAAATAAAAGTACATATAAACAAAAGTTATAAAGCTAGGTTGGCAGGAAACTTTAGTTGATAGAAATCTTATGAAAACTCTGATTGTATTGTGTAGTCTGATCAAGATATAATTTTTACAAAAAAAAATTTAAATGCTTCCAAGCATCCACAACAATCTCCTTGTCCTTATCAGTTTCATTGTCACCAAGTGTAGGGACATTCTCACTTAAAAACTTTGCAAGGTTCAGTGTGATGAGATAGAAAATCATGTTTTGTTGCCAACGTTTAAAGTCCGAGTTATTAAATTTCTTGGACTTCTCTCCATGAGACACACTCACGGTAGCAAAAATAGATTTTGTAGTCATTTTTGTTACACAAACAGAAGTAATAACATTCTTGTTTTAACAAACTAATGTAGTGATATAACATAATACAAAATTGATTTAGATTAAAATAGTAATTAATCTAATTATGCAATGAACGAATTATGTCTTAAGATTGTTATTCAAAGTGTATATATATACACTAGTTATTGCTTGTGCTTAAAGGTACAGAATCATAAAAAAATTTATCAATCATAAATATTATTGTATTCACACCCAATATCAAATCACAAACATAGAGAACAAAAAAAAAATAGCACTAGTTGTTGTAGGGGGTGAACACTGGTAGTGGTGGGCAGCAGCAACTATGGTAATGGTGGATTTTGGGTGACGATAATAGTAATGACAGTCATTGGTGACAGTGCTAGTAATGGTGGTGGGGCGACGATGATTATAGTGGCGGTAGTGTACAATGGTGGTGGTGGTGGGTGTGAGTGGTGATGAACGACAGTGGTGGGAGGTATGGTGGGGAGTAGGTGATAGTGGGTAACGACGATAGTGGACAACGGTGGGTGGTGGGGGGCAACAGTGGTGGTGGTCGCGACATAAGTGGTGGTGGAGTGGCGATGGTGATGGTGATGGTGGTGGTTGAGGTGATGATAGTGGGGGGAATGGTTGGGCGATGGTGATGGTGGGACGGTTACGATGACGGCGGCGGCGGTGGTGAAGTATTTTGTAGAAAAATGATTTTAAATAATTATAAGTTTTTTTTGTTTTTTTTTAACTATTACTTACTTATTTAAGCAGTAAAATTACTTTTGACTTATTTGGAAGTAATTAAAATAAATTGTTCCAAAAATATTATTATTATTTTTTTTAAAGTACTAACGAGAAGTCATAAGTCCTAAAAACACGTTGGAAAGTCACTTCAAACACACATTCTTAGGGAGACTATTTTTCTTATTAAATTTGGAGAGTTTATATTAATCGTCAAATTTACTTTAAAATAAAGTTTAAAACGATATCAACTGCGAAAAATAAAAATTAATTTTTATACCTTCAATCTTTATACTTTATTATATAGATAGATAGATGCACACACACACGCGCGTGCGCACACACATATTAGTCATAATTCGTGTCCGAAGGCACAGTGAAACATAAGATTTGAGTTTTCAAAAAATTGATCCCACTAGACCAAATAACAATTTTTTATTTCTTTAATTACATAATTTAAAATTAATTTTTACCTATTATTTTTTTTAAATGGTGTCAAAATTTTCTCAAAAAATATAAATCGACAATTTTTTTTTAACACATGTACACTATTGTGTATGGACAATATATGAAATAAAAATTATGTTAAATTATAAATTAATTAAATGTTAAATGATTGAACATATGATGTATTTTATATATATATATAATTAGAATTACTATAACAATTTCACTTATTTACATGAAGATACACTTATTTATATATTGGTTTATCATTGGAGGATTGTTATGCATGGTCGCCCTAACTACCTTTAATTTAGCCCAAAAAATAAATAAATAAATGAAATAGACGAAGAATAATGTGTTTTCCCCGTATTCGCTGTTTCCGCTCAAGCGGGCTGGGCTTCCGGAAAGTTCACATAGGCCCAACACAAACCTTACACATTACTTCTCCAAAAAGCAAAAACGCCCCTCCAATGTCTCCGTATTTGCAACTTGCTCCTTTTCACTTTCCGATTCGAATCGCAAATGCAATGGGCACTGCAACTTCTATTCGGGTCTCTGCTCTCATTCTATGGATTTTCTTCGTTTCATCCTCAACTTCACCCCCTATTGTCTTTGCTAAAGAACCCTCTTTAGGTATGCTCTCTCTAAATTTAGGGCATTAAATTTTCTATTGAAGTATATAGGTTGTTTGGTTGCTGAGAAAACATGGGAAAGTAAAAGAAACTATTATCTTGGAACTTATGTTTTCAATTGATTTTTCGTCAGTGTATGGTTGGTTACTTTAGCTGCTAATTGTATTTTTCTTGAGTTATGTAGCTCTATAGTTCTACATAGTATCTTTGTGAAGGGTTTTAATTTTTTCAGGTTGAAGTTCTAAATTTTGGTGAAAATTGTTTTCCGTGTGTTTCGTAGAATTAAAGATTGAGTAGAGATGATTGGTGAGCATGGGTAAATCTTGAATATCTGGACTTAGAATATGCAATTTCATTATACTAAAGGTGAAATTGATTCAGTATTGAACTAGACCCATGTCGACCGTCAATGATTTGTTTGTTTTGAGTCCGGAAATTAAGAAAAGTAAGCAAAAACCATATGTTATATCTAGGGTTTAAGGTTTGCACCACACACGTCAATGATCAACCCGACTTACTAAATTCAAGGAGGTTACAAGTTGTCAGAATCAGCAAAAAGTACAAGGATTTATCCAAAGAACCAATTAAAGAAAATAAAATAGATAGGGTTATTTGTGTTTGTTGAGATTTTAATTTCATCCTAGTCCAAAATCTGATGAGATGACAACAGGGCTAAGTTATGAAGGTTTGGAATATTTCTTCATGGCTAAGTTATGAAGCCATTATGCTACAATACCTGCATATCTTACAATTGTTGTCAGTTCCCCCATCAAAATGATGTGTATAAAAAGAAAGATTGAAGCATCTGATGCTTTTTAAAAAATGGAAGCATATACTGATATATGTTAAACATTGTTGGGACTTGGGAAAGTGTCCAACACTACAGTAAATTTTTCATATTATATATGAACCCATGTTGATATAATCATGTTGTTTCTGTCTTAACCTGGCCACTTCACACTATTTGAGGTGCTCCATTGTGATTTACAAAGAAAATATAAAGTTAAGCTTATGAGCTTCATGGATGATTGTTAGGTGTCTGTCTGTGCTGATGAATTTGTTTTTGCAGTTGTTGCACAGTTTACAAAATTGCAGCTGTCTCCTGGCTTGCTGGTGGAAAACTCTCCAGGTTCTAAGCCTGGTGCTAAAGTGGCTTGTGAAAGAGTTCAAATCCATGGCTTATTGAGGCTTAAGCATCTTGAGAAGTTTGCCAATTCAGTGAAGGTGAAAGTTTCTCATGTAAATTCAAGTGGTCGCCTGCCAAACATCGAGGTCTGTTTCCATAGGTGAGTGATATTATGCATGTGGTTTTTGAAATTAATTAAGGACTAAATTGCAATGATTAGAAGCTTATTTTGCATAGTTTGATTATGCCAGCTTTGTTTATACTTGACAAGTGGTGATGTAGTGGCTATCATCTTAAAGGAACTTATCAATAGAATAATTGCTTGAGCATTCGACTCTATCATGGTACATGATTGTTGTGAACTAAGAAGCACGGATACTTGATGTTGGACAACCGTGTAAAATCAAATATGGTACTATTTAGCGGTCGTGAACAGTGGCATGAATAGTAAATTTGACTAGGAATTACAACAAGGATTCTTTAGGCATCACATTTAGGGTAAGAATTGCATCATACAACTCAAAATACATATAATTGCTTAAATTTTTTGAAAATATCTCTTTCCATTAAATTAAAGTATTACATCTCTATATATAGACCTCTAAATATTTGCTAATCCTAAAAGGATTAGGAATCCAAAGACTATTAGGACTCTAAATTGTCGAACATCCAATTCTAGAATTTGACCCAAAAGATGACCCACGGATTGAATTGTGACCCGTTTCGATAAATCTTGAAATTACAAAAATACCCTTGACCCTGAAAAATATTAAAGAGACATATAAAATACTAACCGACAAATTGACTCAAATCAATTCAAAATAAAATAATGCGTGATTATATATGAATCTTTGTCTTTTTGGCAAGCCCATTCCATTGTTTTCCACATTTTTAAATTTGTGTTTCCTTGAGCATCTTATGAATTGCATCATTTTCCCCTGCTTAGAGAAAACTCGACCTCGAGTTTTGAAGTACCTAAGTTTTAATATTGCAACTGTAATTGTCTTTGAATAGTCTCAAGATGATGCCTCATTTTCTTCTTGAATTAAGGAAACAAAGAAGAAACTTGGAGATCGATCTTCTCAATTCGGTCATTGATCTTCTCTAGAATCACAAAATCAATTGGTGGTGGAAAGTGAATAGAAAGAACATCCTTGAGTTGACATTGAACATGAAGCCTATTAGATTGTCATTCAATTGTAACCCTTCCTTCCTCTTGCTAAGTCAAACTTTTAGTAATAGTTATTGATTCTATCTCTTGGTTCATGGTGATATCTTCTTTTGTTGTAGCCATGATATTCTCTCGAGCACCGTTAGTTGGCTATTTATGCTCACTTAGATTCTCGGTGGATGAAAAACAAATCGAGCACTTGAAGTTAATGTTGTCAGTTGAAAGTCATCAACACAAGGAATTTCATTTGGGCACTATATCGAAGTATTCATATAGCAACTCAGACATATCTAAAGGCAAATTTTTGCTCTTTTTTTCAACTTGTAGTTGCACATGTGCGTTGCACTTGACTTATTGTGAACTATAATTTTTATTTTTATGTTTTATTTGTCCGACAAAGTGTTGCTTGCCACTTGGTTATGTTCTTAGAAAACTATGTCCAGAAACATGTTTTCAAGAAGGGTCTCAGAAAAATGGCTTATAGTGTCTTTTACATCCCAAAACATGTTTAGTAAGAGACAATGAAACTTGTTTGGCCAATGACCCAAAAATAATAAACTACTAAATGCCTTTTGTCTTAACTTTTTCTTTTGAAAAAAAGGAAAAAAGGTCATGAGTCAACTATATGCATTCTGTGATGACATGGGCCAATTATATTTTGAATTGCGTCATTTATAAAGAATTTTATCGTACTTAAATCATAATTTTCATGTCATCAGGTACTATACATTGTCACTATTCAACAAAACGGTCATCCATTACACAAAAGCCATTCACATTATCTACATGTAGCATAGACATGCAATAGGATAAGTTCGTCAATTGACTACCGATTTATTAGACTCCCTACAAAGAGGTATTAAACTTGTTTTGCTATTGCTTAAGAGATAACATGCACACCAATCACATCCCACAAATGCATCTAACAAGAACTTTAAAGCTGCTAGATTTTACGTATATTCATTAAACTAGGGTATTTTTCCTTATACTCAAGCAATAGATATTCCAAAATTCCAACTAAAGCTCGCTATTTGACAAAAAGAAAATAATTTCCCTATTAATATGCAATACTACAATAAAATAATGTTGTTTTCTAATATAGAAAATATATGATGGTACTCATATTCTTATCTTCCATTTTGGTGTAAGTGGTTGAGAGGGGACAATACTTTGTTTAGTGCACTTAGGTATCATAATCAAGAGCACCACCTTTTTCTTTCTTTTTCAAAGGCATAAGCTTCTTAATGCACTTGTAGTATATCATCCTTCTTGTCAAGTTTAATAGTAGTAACCACAAGTAGTTCTCTCAATAATCATCAAGAAGTTAGTCATTGATGACATGCACCTCAAGCAATGGAGCTAGAGCTGTCAAAATCCGACACGACATGATTAATTGACACAAATTGACATGAATTAAGCGAATTTGGGTGAGATCTTAACGGGTTTGGGTGATAAACGGGTCGTGTTCGGGTGAGACCTGTCAAACCGTTTATCACATGTTTACCCGTTTAAATAAAATTAATATAATAATTATTTTAAAACATTAGCAAGAAAAAAAAGGTAAAGAAATCAATAAAAAAAAAGAAGTAAAATAGTAGTTCAAAGACAAATGAGAGAAGATGAGAAGCACTTCAATGACAAATGCAAACCAATGCATTTTGTTTTTGTCCCACATTGAAAAATGAGGGGAGATGGGGAGAGTTGAGTTGCCTATAAAAAGTAATGACCTCTTATTTTTTTTTTTAAGCCTTCATATCTTATTTTTATGTGATTTAGTTAAAAATTCCTCTTTTTTGAGGTAAGTGCAATTGACGGTAAAAAAAAAAGTAGAGTATTAAAATTTGTTGATATAATTTTTTTAAAATTAAATGGGCTAAACAAGTCGTGTCGTGTTACCTGTTTATTAAATGAGTTGTGTTCGTGTTGAGATTTTTTATCCGTTTATTAAACGTGTCGTGTACGGGTTTATATATTTTTCACTCGTTACCCGTTTAATCCGACACGTTTGATACCCTTACTTGGAGTTAAGGTTCAAGGTAAGGAATCTTGCTGGTGATGACATTCTAAAAAATCTGGCCTCAAAATCAAGATTAGGTGCACATGTCTCAAAGTCACTTGCCTTTACAACTGGACAATACTTTGTATAGATTATAATTAAAACTGAGTAGAGCTACTCATGTATTAGAGCAAATCAAGATATGCATCCAAGTTCTAGCAACGACAAAGCTATCAATATATATATTTTGAGACACAAACTTATAGAAAGTAAGACTTGACTCCTATTTTTTATGACATATGGTTGCAATCACATGAGTTGATCAATTACAGAATGTGCAAGAAAACATAGACACATGATCGCATTATCGTTATAAAGACCTAGTGATATGATACACTCTTAAGGACAAAGTCTTTTACTATGACTATGCAAACAAAAGTAATGAGTAGCCAAAGATAAATTTTGTTCTTTAATTTATTTATTCTTTTTGGAGATTAGTGCATATGGAAAATTTCATTCCTAAAGTTTTGTCAATTAGATGCACTTAGTATCCAATCATCAAGGGTTAAATGGTGGATAACAATTATGAATTTGGAACGAAACAAAACAAAATCAGAAAAACATATATCATCATAAGACCTTCTCATAGAGGTTGAGATATTATAATACAACCAACTCACAGAGCAATCAATAGAATGAGACACTACTAATGAGTTAGTAATTTCATTAAAACAAAATAGGTAGCCATGATTGTACAAATACATGAATAGTTTAACTTCCCTATTTCTCTACTTCGTAACAATCAAGGAAAACATCATCTTTGGACAAATTATTCATGCCATGAAACTTTGAAGGATCAAAAACCTCATTAACAAGCCACAAAGGGGAACTTGGCACTAAATTCTGCCCAAAACCTACACTAAATTATTGTAGATGAAATTAATTAAATTTTTTTTTAACAAAAATAGAATGTAGTTCGAATGGAAAAAAAGAAGCAAAGAACAATAGTATATGATTATGAATTGTGATAGATAACGCAAAATTAAAAAATAAATAAATTGAAAAGGTGAATAAGCAAAGGGTTCATTAGGCAAAAAAAATAAAAAAATAAATGGTCATTATTTGTTTTTACAAAACAAATCTACTCACAAGAAAAAAACTGACGAATGTCAAACCCACAATTGTACAGAAGGTTTCTCCAACATGTTTTATATTTAATTTGGGTTCAAAAAAGTTAAAGCGAGCAAATTGATCAAACAAAGGCAGAAAGTGAAACGGATTATTTTCATAAATATACATACTCCAAGAAAATAATCAAATGAATTATTAGTTTTGCAAATTAGGAACTGGTCGAGATTACTATAGTTCTTCAAACAAAGGAAATCGATGGATAAACTTAGCAAATCAATGTCTAACATAAGGTTTACATAGTTGAATGGAGATGATATGCAAGAGATCTAGGTTGTCAACGCATGGATACTTCAAGGCCGAATTTCCTTCATGTTTCATGCTAGTGAGGATCTCATATACTTCCAAAGGAGCTACTTTTTGCTCCATTTGCTTCTAATTGTTACTTTAGAGGAACATCGGAAGGCACATTAAAACAAGAAATTGTAACATTTAGAGGAGTAGCGCAAGTCACACAAAGGAAGTTTGTTCTTTGTCCCAGGTAGACAAAGAACAACTTGGACATGAAGGATGAGAGTGAAATAGGGATGTGAATGAGAGAAAAAATAGATGAGAGAAATGGATAGTTTCAAAACCGCAGGTTTATTGGAAAGCGGTTTGGATGAAGGAGATGATGTGGCTTGGTACTTTAATCCATATTAGTTTGAGTAGTAATTGAAGAAGATGAAAATGTTGGTTTGTTAAGCCTCTGAAGCCGCTTTTGGCACCGAAAGATAGTGCTAAGGGCACTTAGTTTTAATTAAAAAAATGCGTAATTGAGGATTAGATTGATTTTATAAGAATAATTAAGGATAAAATAGGAAATCAAAAATTTTGAAAATTAGCGAACATTTTATATTAGTATAAATAGATATTCTTAGGCTCAACAACATAGTTATTTTTAGAATACCCGCTTTTCTCTTCGGTCTTTTGACAAATAATTAAAGAACTAACCTGAGAATTTGTAGTCTTATCCACTTGATTTCTTTCGCCTTGAATTATTGGATCGCTTGTTGCTTTGAGCTGCCTTTGATGAACCTTTTCTAGTTGCACATCGGACGTCGTACCACCATTGGGTTGAGCGGTTCGTCCTTCTACGTCACTTAATCAAATTGAGATATTATTGAGTTGCTCCCAAATTCAAAAAAAAATCTCACTTCGCTGCCCATTTGTCAATCGTTCACGAAGCGATCTCCCTAAATACGTAGACATGTTCGATGCTCTCTTTGACACCAAAATTGATGTAGGACAGCTGTGCAAAATTAAATATGGTATTGTTTAGGGGCTGTGAACAGTGACGTAAATAGTAAATTTAGTTAGGAATCACTCCTAGGGTTCTTTAGGCATGACACTTAGGGTTAAAATTGCATCACACAACTCAAAAAATATATAATTGTTGAAATTTTCTGAAAATATCTCTGCATTAAATTAAAGCATTAAATCTCTATATATTTGCTAATCCTAAAAGGATTAGAACTCCGAAGACTTTAAATACCCTAAACTCATTAAGACTAGGAAACTAAAATAGACTAGAACTAGGACTCTAAATTGTAGAACATCAAACACTAGAATTTGACCTAAAAGACAACCCACGGATATGACTGTGACCCATTCAATCAAATCTTGAAATTACAAAAATATCTTTGACCCGAAAAAATGTTAAAAGGACATAAAATAGCAATACTATCAAATTGATTCAAACTAACTCAAAATAAGATTCAAAATACATTAATGCAATGTTCTATATGGATCTTTGTCTTGATGGCTGATTCCATTGTGGATCTTTGTCTTGATGGCAAGTCGATTCCATTGTTTTTCACATCTTTGAATTTGTGTTTCCTTGAGCATCTTATGGATTGCATCAATACTCTTAGGAATGTGAAATTTCCGTGTAAAATACATATCCGGCACCCACACTTCTTAGAGACTCTCAGGTGCTGGCTCCCACACTTTTATATGCGTGCCTGATATTCTTTTGTCTCTATTTATAAAGAAGAAATAAAAAAAATTCAGACATTTGTCTGACGCTCTTTGTTGATGTATGTGATACCTTTTGAGTCATGCCTATGTAAGTGAAAAAAAAGGAGGTCAACACGTCTTAGAGACTTGTTAACATGTGGTTATCTGCATATGGAACATTAGCATCTAATCATAATCTGATACTACTAAAAATGTATATTTGTTAAGACTCTTATCTTAAATTTATTTGAACTTAATTAATGGTGCAGACACATAAATGTTGTGCTCAAGGAAATGGCTTGAGAAGAAGAGAGGAATTGTTAAGAGGAATTGGCTTAATGGTGCAGACACATAAATGTTTGCTATATTTTGTCCATGACAAATGGGTGATTATTTACTACTATATTCCGCAAGTCTAAAATTCTAGAGCGTAAGATATGTAGTACTAAATGGAATACTTGTATAATTTGTTTTCCGAATCCTATAGTATGTAGCGTATTCTAACAATGCCCTTGTCCTTCCTTTTTAGGATTTCCTATATTGGAAGTGTTCCTATCACTATCATGTTCTAGTTTATGGGTGTCGACTGTGTCTTGTTGTGGCGTGTGCTTTTGGGTTCATGTCTAGTATCCTTTGGTGTTAATACAACCTGTTTAATTAGTAGTATCAAAACTGGACACTTAACATGAAGATTATATTATACATGTACCCAAACACGACCCATGTGACATCTACATGGGCCATGTTCGGATCAACTCGGTCGGCATAACAACCTGTGACACATGTTTACTGCACGAGTTGGGATGGGATCGACACAACTAACATGTGAACATGTTTAACTTGATTAACATGTTTGGACTTTAGACCTATTTAACATGTTCACAGTAATTAATAATAATCTCCACATTTTGACAAAACAGATTTCTAATCATCCTCTACCAATCATGACCAGCAATGATACATTTGGAATCAATAGTTAACACTCACAGTTCAACTCAAAAAAACAAAACAGAAGCATTCAAAGGAAGGAGTTTCCAGAATATGGATCTTCTCAAACAATGCAATTCCTGTGTGTGGAGGCGGCATTTAAGAGGAATTTGGAATTTGGAATTCTCTTCTGCATCAATGAAATGGGCTGTGAGATGAGAAATATACATCTCATTCACACAAAATCCAGCAATGTAGTAACAACAGCATAAAGAGTAGATGTATTTGGGGAGAGCTAATATTAAACCATATGGTACAAATTTAAGGAATTCCTCTTTTTGATGGATATGGTAATATAATTGGAGTACTATGTTTCCTTTGTAGGAATTCATCTCTCGGGATAGGGATGTGCCCTCAAGGTCAGTGGGAGAAGCTTACCAAGAATTCATGGGCAAGATCTATGTCGCCTTTTGATCACAAGCTCTTAGATATGCGGATGGCAGGCTCTTCCCCAGAAACTCTAGAGGTTTCTCTTGATGAAGGTTGGTTCTTTGTGGGTCACTTTACAGATTTATATCCTCTTTCTGTTTGTTGACATTTAGACTTACTACCCGGGACATTTATAACTAAATTATGACTAATGATTTCTTATTTTGCAGAATTTTTCTTGTACCGTGTCATATTTTTGGTGTTGGGAGTAGTGTTGATTACATTGGCCTCCTCCTTAAGCAAATCTTTAGTTTTTTACTATGGCAGCGCCATGGCTGTAGGAGTCATCCTTGTAATATTGATGGTTCTTTTTCAGGTACAGCACATAATTTTGTAACTCTTATATTTGTGAATTGTGTAAACATTGTTGCATTTATAAACATATCTCTTTGTTACATGCAAAAGACGTCTATAGTCCAGGGTTGTATGTTTTTGCATAATATTGTTGTCAGTCCCCGAACTTGATCTCTCAGATTCGATGCGTGAACTAATTTTTCCATACAAACTGAGCACTAATATCTCTCATAATTAATACAGTATTGCTAAATAAAATAACGTACAATTTGTCTATCAATTAAAAATGTAAAATGTTACATAACTTATTCATCCTTAGAAATCTCTAATCTTTACTCAATTCGAACCGCTATTGCTTTCTACCATGAAATCAACCTCTGCATATGGGAGGGGTAAATGGAGGGAGGGCTTGAGGCCCTGTAAACAATTTAAAACACAATATACGAAGTCAAAAAGGTTAAACGAGATTTGAACAACAAACCGCAAAAGCATGAGATAAAAAATAATATTTATCACAAACACTTAAAAAAATTGTACGGAACTCAATACTCAATCTTCAAATCACTCATTGCTTCATACCCAATTTGTCTCAGCAACATGCTAGACGTCACTCGGTGTATTTTACAATCACACCACCTTGCGGTCACAATCACATCTAATAATCATAACCATGACATCGAGCACGCCAGCAACAAATACCACGATCAAGGATCAAAATATCCGTTGAAACGTCCGAAACGTTTTCGTTTTCAAGGAGACCGAAACGAAACATTGATGGAATTGAAATTCTAATATTTAAAGGCATTCTATAATATTTTGAGATATTTTATAATATTTCAATGCATTTTCACAATTATTTCGGAATGTTTCAAGGTATTTCAAGATACTTTAATATATTTCATTCAATGTTTTAAAAAAAATAATTCTTAAATTTTTTATTTTTTTTATTATGTTTCTGAAATGGGTCGAAACGTTTCAGAAACACGTCAAAACGTTTTCGAAACATGTCGAAACATTTTTATTTCCTAGGTGAGCGAAACAACACACCGAAACAAAATTTTAATCCTTGACCACGATACATCAAACGAAAGTAGTGAGGAATAACGAAACCACAACAATTAAGCAATCGATTAGAATACAACGGGGATAACAACGAAACGAACTCTTTGCAAAGAGATTTACATATAGATGCATATTGTGAGATAAATCACTTTCAATTAATATCAAAGCCATTTGATGTAAGGTCCCAACTATCAAGAACAATGCTTTCAAATCTCACTAGAATTGGACAAAGATACACTGATGAATCTTTGGGTCAAAGAAATTTCTTCCTATGTTTCTTCACTAAACCACACTTGATTTCCTCTTATTCTTTATGTTCCTCTCACATTCGGTCAAGACCTGTTTCCACCATTTCTTTTGACAGCCTATCATCTCTCTCTCTCTCTCTCTCTCTCTCTCTCTCTCTCTCTCTAGTATAGCTGCAGCCCAATTGATTCCCAAACCCTAAAATATTTGATGTATATATAGATGCCTTCAAGATTAAAGTATAATCTATCCCTAATGAAAAATCTGTCCATTTATTCCTCAATTTTCTTTGCCCTATTCTAAACTCACGTGAGGTAATTCTTGTGGCAATAACAAACGCTAAAAAACAAGTCTATTGATTTATAAACATTTTTTTTGACATAAAGGCTAACCGCAAATTTGGAACTCACCTCATTTCAATGCTTCTTTATATATCAATCTAATTGATTTACACTTGTTTAGTGGGTAAATCAAATAATTAAATATTGTTTTATATATCCAATTATCAGGTTTGGGGCATCACATTTTCTCCTCATTAAAATTAATTTCGTCCTCAAAATTTGTTAAATCTAGGTTTTTTATAATATGTTTAAAATCGTTTATACTGTGCACTCTGATTAATGAATTTGGTCATGTTTTTCAACCTCACTCTTACTCAATCTCCCACACTGTTATTCTAAACACTAGCCTAAGGAAGTCCAAAGAATTCTATTCCTTTGTTTTAATCGTCCTGATTCTTAATTTTTATTCTTTTTTGATTTCTGGTCATTTGCAAAGTCCCTGTACCAAAGCTACCTATTAGTTCAATTGGTGTTACAGAATACATTGTATCAAATAAGACAATAAGCTGCAAATGTACCACTGCTTACTTTAAGTGAATTGCAATCGTTAGTTGCCTTACTTTTCTTTTATTTTATTTTGTCCTTCTTGGTGTAATTGTGCTTTAACTTGCCAACTTCTAAATTATTCTAATGTGCTTAAAAATAATTTCTGCTGTTACTCACTCTGATAAAAACATTATAATTTATCTATACTCCAACCACATATTTTAACTATCACTAAGCCCGACTAGCTTACTTCCCGACAGTTCCTATTCAAGAACTAATTTGTAAGTTCTTATACCATTATGTGATGTTCCGAACTTGATCTCTCAAATTTGATGTGCGAGCTAATTTTTCCATACAAATAGAGCACTAATATCTCCCATAATCAATAAAGTCTCCCAAAATTAAATATCATATAATTTTTCTGTCAGCTAAAAATGTAAAATATTACAAAACTCATTCTTCCTTGGAATTGTCTAATCTTTGCTCAATCCGACCCTCTATTGCTTTATACCATGAAATCAACCTATATTTTAGAGGGGCAAATTGGGGGGGGGGGGGGTGAGCTTGAGGCCCAGTAAGCAATTTAAAACACAATATACGAAGTCAAAAATGTTAATAAATATTCAAACAACTAACCGCAAAAGCATGAGATAAAAAAGAATATTGATCATAAACACACTTAATAAAACCGTATGAAACGCATACTCGAATGTTTCAAATCACCCATGGTTTCATATTTAGTTCGTCTCAACAACATGCTAGGCGCCACTTGGTGCATTCTAGTATCATACATGCCCCTCAAGGCCACAATCACATTTCATAACCATAACCATGCCACTGAGCACACTTGACGCATGTGTTGATAGGTCCCAAAACACTTCACTAATAAAAATATTTTTAGCACAACAAACACCACGATACATTAGACAAAAGCAGAGAGGAATAATGAAACCACAATGGTTAAGCAATCAAGTAGAATACAACGACGATAACAATGAAACTAAATCTGCATAAAGAGATTTACATATTAATGCATATTGTGAGATAAATCAGTTATAATTAATATCGAAGCAACTAGATGTAAAGTCCCAACTATCACAAACAATGCTTTCAAATCTCACCAAATTGGACATAGATAAACCATTGAATCTTTGGGTCAAAGAAATTTCTTCCTATGTTTCTCCTATTCTTAATGTTCTTCTCACATTTGGTCAAGACCTGGTTCCACCATTTCTTTTGACAGCCTATCATCTCTCTTTCTCTCTCTCTCTATCTCTCTCTAGTATAGCCGCAGCCCAATTGATTCTCAAACCCTTAAATACTATATGTATATATAGATGCCTTCAAGAGTAATGTGTAGTCTATTCCTAATGACAAATCTGCCCATTTATTCCTCAATTTGTTTTACTCCATTCTAAACTCACGTGAGTCAATTCTTGTGGCAATAATAACAAAGGCTAAAAAACAAGTTTAGTGATTTACGTGATTTTTTTTTGACATAAAGGCTAACCGCAAATTTGGAACTCACCTCATTTATGCCCTCATTTCAATGCTTCTTTATATATCAATCTAATTGATTTACACTAGTTTAGTGGGTAAATCAAATAACTAAATTTTATTATATTTATCCAATTGTCATGTTTGGGGCATCACAATTGTAGTTGAGGTGACTTGTTTTTTTGTTTATTTTTGACTCCAGTGGTTCAAGTTCAGAACTTTCACATATGCCCTATAGATATGTAAAACACTTTTTTGCAAATACTGTTTCTTTTTTTATAGTCAAACTCATACTATTATATTTGCTGTAATATTGATTCAATTTATATTTTGTTTTCTGAATTTATGTATTTAGTATTTCCAGTGCCAGCAACTTTCTCGTGTCATTGCCAGGGAATGAGGCAGTTTGTTTTCTTACAGTCCTCAAACTCATACTATTACTGCTTTAATATTGATTCAAATTATGCTTCTGGTTTTTGAATTTATTTATGGAGTATTTTCAGTTCCAACAGCCTTCTTGTGTCATTGACAGGGAATGAAGCTTCTCCCGACTGGGCAAAAAAATTCACTTGCAATATTTCTATATTCATCTATGGTGGGTATCTATATTTTATTAATATACTGTACTCCTTTGGTTGCACTTTCTATGGTGCTGTGAAAGAAATTTAGGTGGATCGTATCATTTTGTTTAGGTTGGCTTGGGATCTTTCGTACTTCGCTATGTCCCTAGGTTATTGCGTTCAATTCTTGTGGAGCTCGGAATCAGCGAAGACATGTACAATCCTGTATGTAAGTTTCCTATTGGTAATTCTGGTAGTTATCCTTGTGTCTTTGCAAGTAGTCAAAGCATGGCTCGGGTCTTTAAGCTGGAACTTCTTGTTGGATGTTATGGTTGGTTAGCTGCCTAAATGGAGAAACCTTGTAATAGCTGTTGTCTGTTGATGTGGAAGGCTAGTTAATAGGATGTACATCTTTCTTTTTTGGTTGTCTTAACTGTTATACTTTAGGACCAGGAAATTATGTGGGTTTTCAGTTTCAGGTAACTCCAACCAAACAGAGTTCCAAATTATTTTCTAGTTTGTAGTCAATTGTGTGGCACAGCAAAAACTTTATATCAAGTGAGTCTTGAGTTTTTTTCCAATTGCATGATCTTCAATGCTCTTTGTCTGATGGCAAAGGAGTTGCATTTCATAAGTCTTTATTCTGCAGAAATACATGGCAACTGTACAGTGCATTTGATGGAGTACCAAGGAAATGCTTTTGGCCGATAAATGCACCAGTTAATGCAAATTTGTGCATGACTCGCAAGCTTCTGTCCCCACTTCTCACCAACAAAAAAACAATCATCAAGTTGTTAGGAGGTTTCCTCTGCTTGTGCCGAAGGTGCCCTTATACTATCATACAGTAGGCATTTTCAATATCTGCAATTAACCCGCATGATTAAGTGACAGTTAAAGGAAGTTAAGATGCCCACCGTAGGTAGAAATTCCCTTCATTTGCAGGAATATTAAGATTCCATCTAATTCTTCACTGTGTTTGGTGTTCATATCAATATCCTCACCTTAAATTAGCAGTTATTATTTGGCTTTCAAGTTTAATATAAATTCAACAAGGTTATGTACTTCAAGATTTTGGGCCTTCAGTTTACTCCTGATATGTTCCCATTTTTTGTCTATGAATGGCTTCACTGTAATGCACTTCCTTGTTCTCTAGACGGGTCTACCTCTCATAGGTATATGCACAACGTTCTCCTCTAATTATCTTAACCTCTTGATGCGAATGCATAATTGAAAGATATTGCCACGGTATTTAGTTTATTACAACAGTATTTCATTTTGCTACGGTCTACCTCTCATAGCTATATGCACAATGTTCTCCTCTAATTATCTTAACCTCTTGATGCGAATGCATAATTGAAAGATTTTGCCACAGTATTTAGTTTATTACAACAGTATTTCATTTGATCCCAGCCTCTCCTCCACGACTGAGAGCACTTCCTGATACTTTCCTGCTGTCTTCAGATTTGGCATTGGAGATGAATTTCTGCAGATATAGCATTCTGTGGACTGTTGGTCCTAACTGGCACTGATTTTGTGTTGCAGTTGGCAATGTTTCTCCTGGTTTTCCTTGTTCTTGGTGGAGCTTGGTTGGGTTTCTGGGTTGTTCACAAACTTGTCCTGACAGAAGATGGATCCATTGACATAGGCGTAGCTAATTTTGTTGCCTGGTCCATTCGTATTTTTGCTTCTGTTATGATTCTTCAGGTTCTTAGCTTCCCTGAAAAAAAATTGAGAATCTGTTTCCTACTTTCAAAAAAATTTATATTCGGTTATTTATGGCCCCTTCTGTTGAGTTTGGTGAACTCATTCTTTGAAGAGAATTGTAAAAATGAAGTTGTATTGTTTTCAGAGTTCTGTTGATCCTTTGCTGGCAGCGGAAGCATTGATATGTGGAATACTGCTTTCATCAATATTGAGGAAAATTACCCGGCCAAGATTCGTGCGTCACTTGTACAAGTCAGTGTACGTTATCATTTTGAGCTTAATTATTTCCTTCCACTTCATGTATTAAAATCCATGACCAGAAATTATATGAAGAGGTGCCTCGAGGTAGAAAATGTGTTTGGATAGACCGAATATTTAAAATCGCTGACCTCAATGATGCGGTTTCTTAAGCTCTTGGAATTTTGGTGGCATGTTTGCAATGCTCTGCTATATCTGCCACATATTTGTACATTTCCCATATGGGCTGTTTTATATCATTTTATGCATATGTTTTTAGCTTCAAAACCTCTATGCAGAAAATTATGCAGACCAGACAAGAGCAACCATAGGTATCAGACTTATTCATCTCCCGTTGCAGATTTTTATGGGTCCAGGCCCAACAACAAAGCTCCATACAGTACTCCAATCAGAGGTTTGCTTTATTTTTAATGCGTCATAATAATAAATTATGTAGTACCCATATAACATTCACTTTTACCTATAATTCTGTTAGGTTCAAGCAGGACGTCACCAAGGCAGTTGTCAGATTCAGGCACATTCTATTCTACCTACCATGACACGCCTGAAAGAAGAGAATTCTCGAAGGATGAATGGGAAAAATTCAGTAGGGAGTCTACAAAAAAGGCATTGGAAGGGCTGGTTTCTTCTCCAGATTTCAGTAAATGGGCTGTTGCTCATGCTGACAGAATCACTTTGGCTCCTAAGAAAGAGACCGCTGATCATCCGCGGAGGTGGACGTGGCTTCCTTGGTTATGAACATTTTAATGGTCTTCACTAATTCAAGTTGGTTTGCACTGGACATGACTATGAGATGTTTTAGTTTAGGAACGGATTGCCTGCGTTGTTGTAATATAGTGTAGCATCGATTTGGGCACAGATTATACTCTGGAACTATATGTTTTGAGTTGATGAGCCCCCTACAATCTAACTTTTACTGTGATCTATCACTCTTGTATGAGGACAGAACATATGCTTACCCAGAGTCATTAATATTATAATATTTGCACAAATATCTGTGACACATCATTCTAGTTTTAAAAAATCTATTTCTGAAGTATTTTTCCTTACGAAACAATAGGTTGAATGAATCTCTTTTCACTGTTTTTCCCTGATTGAATGAGTAAGAAGTCTGGATGCGGTCCTATAAACAATTAGTGGTTGTCAACATCCGCAGACATATGCAGAGAGATGACTGATGACAATCAACAGCAGCCTGGTGTTCCCCCGCACCAAGGTAAAACCAAGTCTGAGTTCTAATGTTTCGTGGTTTTTTGGGTTTCATTTGATATAAATGCTGTCGATATCCGACCTCTTTGTGGTTTGTATTTCTTCATCATACATGTGTTTGTATGCATACATGTATAGGTCATCATTTTTGTATACTCGTCCACATATTTACAGGTTATCCTACTCATCCAGAAGCTCCAAAATATGCTGATCCTCCTCCCGGGTCTTCTCCACAAGGTGACTCTCAGCAGGAGCAGCAGAACACCCACCCACCTCGAACTCCAACTGACAGCAACCTCCCTGTTTGCATTGAAATATGGTGTGCCTTTCTCTCTCCCTCCTCCCTCTCAATTTAGTTCTTGATCTATCTAAAGCATAATCTCAATATATCTCTGCATTTTTTGAAACCCTTTTAAACACGTTTTCACTTTGCACAGCTGACACACTTCTTTCCATTTGTAGTTGTTCAGCACTTTTTAGCTGTTTTTTTGGCTTCTAAACCGCACTGTCACCGGCTCCGATTGTGGTTATTCGTTCACCAACGATCTCTCTTTGGAGTTATCATCAAGGGAATGGAGATATCCTTTCTCTAGACGAATGAGACCTTTTTGTTTCAATTGTCTATGGATGATCTGCCGCTATGGAAAATTGAAAAAAAAAAATTATTAGAGAGAATCTAAATCATCTTCTACAGCGTGCATATGACACAAGCTCATATCCTTTTAGGTACACTCTACAGTAAGATTCTAAAATGTAACCCAACCCCGACTTTGTCCACGAAAGCAAGGTGGGCATTTTTTTTTTAATTATTTATAGGCTTACGTTGATTATTTTCTCGAGTTCGGATATTGATCATTGTAGTCCGAATGAGTTTAGAACATGTTCTCTGAGTAACAAAAGTGACTGACCCTTAGGAGTATAATAAATGTTGAACCTGAGACCTCTGGATTATCAAAAGTCAGACTTAGCCATTGAACCACCCTAAGGGTTAGACATGTAATGTTAAGTGCTTATGTTAAAACAGTCCCGGAACAAGTTTTGAATCATGCGGCAGGATCGTGAATGCCCAAATAAATGAAACTATCAATAATTGTGCAATACTTAAACCAATAGAAAATTGTTATTTCGAAATAATTTGAGAATATAATCTGATCACTTAATCAACTATAACTGTTAGATTGAAAGTGTGCTCCCAAGAGCGAAGCCAAAATATTTTTTGCATTGGGGACAACTAATTATTTATATATAAGTTAAAAATATAATGAAAACCAATTAATCGGAATAATTTATTCTAAAATATAATTTATTATAATCAAATTTCAAATATCAAAATTTAAATGTTGAACATGCAAAAAATTAAGAATTCAATTATCAAGAGAGCATTGTCCGAGAGAGAAAATAGAAGAGAACGACCAAATAACAATCATCAAACTTGTTGCGATTTTGCGAATATATTTTAAATAATAATTCGTTGGTGTGTAAGGGAAAAGAGAAAATTGGAGATAAAAAGAGAGACCGAAGAGAGGGTGATGATATTGAATTGTATAAAAGAAACTTAAATCTAAATTTTTATAAGAATATAAGGAATCGCTCTATTGGGGTCTAAAAATTTATTCTTAATTGTTGACCTAATGACACGACAGCGGAGATATTAAAAATAACATTATTTTAATTAGAACTCTTGAATTTATTCTTTGAGACTACATCATTTAACACATTATTTAGTAAATAAATTAGTTTAGATTAGACCTAAAAGTGTCATTGAAATATAGAAGTAGAGATAAAGTTTTTCAAATTTTTAGAGGGGGCAAATTGTGAAAACTTATAAATTTATAAAAAAAAAATTAAAATTGCACCAGGGCAGTTGCCCTCACTGCCCCCCAATGTAAATCCATCCCTGTGTACTTTATTTAATATTGGAACTCACAATTAATCCGATGACTATATTGAATTAAGTCTTTGACTAGGTGCATGCCCAAATTAATGAAATTATCAATGATTATAAGGTGCAATACTTAAACCAATGAAAATATTATTTTTAGATCTAATTTGATAATTTAATATGGATTATAACTGTTGAATTGAAAGTGTATTTTATCTAATATTAAAACTCACAATTAATTTAATAAATGTTAAAACTAGGGGTCGGCCCTTCCATTGTACATGCGCCCATGCATGATTGGTGGCTAAGTTGAAATGTATTCCTTAAATTTTTGGAGGACAATGATACATATAACAGTAAAATTATACTTACAAAGTTTTTTATCTCAAGTAATGTGACATAATGTCTATCATTAAGTATTAATAGAATCCACTTATTTAATAGTAAAAACTGTGTCACATTATTTGAGATGAAAATTTTAGTAAGAAATATTGGTCAATATAACATTATTATACATATAATGACACGAGTGTTTTTCCATGAAGGACACGATGATTATTTTTTCTTTTTCGCATTTTTGCATTTTTGGCCGCATGGTGAATATTTTTTTGCATGTTTGGCATTTTGGTATAGTAGTAATCGTGTCGTGTCAATTATATTGTATCATATTATTTATGAATTTGTGTTGAGTATTGACTCAACTTATTTATTTTTATGTTATATTTGGGTTGACTCATATAATCTATAAATTAAAATTTTAATACTAATATGTAAGTTTAAGATTTTATTATTTTTTATCGAACTCAGGCTTTTAGTTTTTTTATAAACTAAAAATTAATTTACAAAATATAATAATAAAAATAAGTACAAACATCGTTTTTTTTTGTACAACTATTATATCAATACTTAATTAAAAGATGACAAAAAATTTATATTTTATTATCATAATATTGGTCAAATGTATTAATCGTGACAATTTTACATTATTCGTGTCGATCCAAAATTCTTACATCCCAAAATTTCTTCAAATTTTTGTAATCATATGTCACCAACCATATACGAGTGGATGCGGCATTTAGAAATAGTAAATCTCATTTGAATTCATATAATACATAGTTTATTAAAATTATATATTTAAAGTCAAAGCTATTATTTCTATCATTTTTAATTTCACTTTTAAAAGGTGTAGTTTGATATTTAAAAATTATAATATTTATAATTAATCATCATATTTTATGATCAATCATATCCTTGACAGTTACGACTATTAAGTTCGAAAAGTCATAGCTTTTACTTTAAAAAGTTAAACTTTCGGGGTAATACATATCTTAATACTGTAGTTATCTTCTATGTTTGAATGACTGATGCTTTTCTATTACTTTCTGTGGTATTTTTAAATGATTGTTACAACTTGCAGTATGAGTAATGAAATTAAAAAAAAATACTAAAATGAAATTAAGAAAATATTAAAATACTTTCGCCATGGACAGCCTTTGTTTTATTTATTTTTTGAAACAAGGATAATATAACCATTTATTTTGCCAATAATGACATATGCAAAATGTGCGTGCAAGATCCTGCACAATATAAAAAATATTGGGAACAGCTCTCTCTCCTGGTGAACTTTGAGTGAGCCGGTTGAGTGGCCAAACACACTGCTTGAAACAGCCTACAAGGAACGGTGGCAACCTGGAATGGCAAAGGAAGATCCTGGGAAAGGAAGAACGATCCTGTACTTGGGAAAGGTATTTCCTGGAACAAAGGAGAACAAGTTAGAAGGGCGCCGGAGTGTTTTCCGGCGTATCCCCTCCGACGGTCTAGTCAGTCTTTGAATGAGAGAGAGGAAGGAGAAAACACTGATGAGAATATTTTGTAGTAGTGAGTTTGTGATTGCATACCTGCTTTGCCTTTTGGGAGGAGTATTTATACCTTAGAAGCTCATGATTGCTGTCAGTGTGGTCAGTAGGTGATCATCAGGCACAGGTAGCGTGTGTATTGATTTGATGAGGAATGTCTTCTCTAATTGATTGCTCGGGATCCCGAGCAATCAATTATGAGCCGTCGGGACGCCGACGGTACAATATGATCCTTTCGGGAAGGATGCAATAAATGCTCTGTAATAGGAACATTTATTGCCTTTCATATCCGAACCTTACCGCATTGAATGCGGTCTCGTCAACAGAAGGGTGCAATTAATTTGTTTGCTTTCCCAAGTCGCGTGTCAGCGACGGCATGCGTCTGTCTGCTTCTGATGTGACATTATTTGCCACGCGTCCATCCCTTATTGGCTGTGACGTCGGTATTCCAGCGTGTTCTGACATTACTTGTGCTAAAACGAGGTTATGATGAATAGTCTAGACTGGCATAGGCTGATGTCCCGTACGTCAGTAGCGTTATCCGGGAGTAGAGGAAGCGTCCAGGATAGAGTGACCCTCGGCACCGAGGAAAGACTCACCTCGGGGACCGAGGGGTGGTGTGTTTCCGAGGTATACACACGACCGAGGACACGTGTCGTTGTATAATGCACCGAATATGTGATCCTATATGAGAGGTACCTCGGGGGAGAGGACGCCTTTTGCCGATGGTGCTTGAATCCGAGCAACATTGTTCTAGAAACCCCGAGGACACGTGTCTTCATCATAGGGCTTTTCAGAAGAGTCCCATCAACTGCCCCCAGCCTTCGATCTTCTGACGCCGAGGACACGCGTTGTCAGGAGACGAAGGGTTTTCCAACTGCCATCCGTCCTTCATTATGGCCTCGAGCAGCTTTCCCCGGCTTGGGACGTCGTGCGCATTAAATGCGCTGTTTTGGTTCTCCCGCCCAATGATGACAGTTTCCCCCCTATATAAAGGGGGTTCTTCTCTGGTTTCCATCGTTTTGCCATTCCGATCTCTGACCCAGAATCTGCTCGCCGGAGTTTTTGTTTCCTCAGCCATCGTCGACAACATCTTCTCTTAAAATCACAGTCAGTAAACCCATTGTTGACTCCTGGTCTTTCCGGTGCGAGTCATTTTAAAGCTTTTCCTGAAAAACTCCGTTTTCGACGTCTTCGGGTGAGTTTCATAACCTTCTTCTTTATCGTCCTCCTAGCCTTCTTGTTTTCCGATTGAACGGTGGTGTCATCCGGTCGGTACGTCTTGATTTAAACCCTCGGGGAACTTCCTCAGGTTTTCAAGAGAACACCTTTTCCTTCCCTTTCTTTTAGAGATGCCTCGTCGTCGCCCTGCTCCCGAGAATCCATCGGCTGGTCCCTCGGGGTCAGGGAAATACAAGGTGACAGGCGAGGCGCAGATCGATAGGTTCAGGGCTAAGTATGGCATCCCCCCGAGCGTGGACGTAGTGGGTTTTAACCCTTTGTTGAACTCTCCTACCTTCGGGGCTGCGGATGCCATGCCTTTCTATACCAAGGCCATCATAGAGGGTGGAATTAGGTTTCCTTTACCCCCCCTACTTCTTCAGTTCCTGTCTCGCTT